TATATATATATATATATATATATATATGTATATTGCCAAAAATAAAGTTAGAGGATGCTTTAAGCAGCAGGTAAAGGGTTAAAGGTTAAATTCACAGTGCAGAGGAACCGGTAGCCATCCACTGTGTAGCTTTTTAAAAATTTTATTAATCATCAATAAATTGATACTTCAGGGTGTGCTTTATTGCAGATTGAAACCACAACATATATGTTCTCCATTGCTGTGCACTCTGTCATCATTTGACAGCAAGTCTTTACAGCCACAAGGACACGTGGAGCTGTTATCTTGCCTTCCCCCTTAATGACAGAGGTCTAGATGTTCCTCTCCCCTGTTTATTTCTCTTCTTGGCTGAGTGCTTCTACGGGTCATCCGTGTATATGTATGTGTGTTACCAGGTGGTGAAAGTTTACCAAGCCGGCATCCAGCAGACCTTGGACATAGTCTTTCTGAGAGGCGGTGTGACTTTTATAACAAGCTCTGACTGCGTGAGCAGAGACTCTGCAGACCGCACCCTCATTGCCTGGGACTATGAGACCACAGCCAAAGTCTCCAACCAAATCTACCATGTAAGATATCTGTGTATGTGATAAATTAAAAAAAAGTAGGTCTAATTACATGAGGTTTGGCTGGTATATGAAATTAAATGTATAATCTTAAGAGACTCATTTTTAATTTAACATTTAAGGTTTAATAACCTTTGTGCTTTTTTATACAGGATAACTTCTCATTCTGAACAGTTTTGAGTGTATATTCTCTTTACTCATTGGAATAGATTGAAAATGATGGTCAAAATAAAAAATATTACTACATATACACAGTGGATTGATCATAAACCTTTATACCATTGTACAAACCTCTTTTTTTTAATCATTAATACACTAGTTAACATGGAGCTGACTTCACCATAAGTAATAACAAGAAAAGGTCAAATAGTGAATTCATTTCCCTTCTCATTCTTCTTCTCATTTGGCCACCAGGAGCGTTACACGTGCCCGAGCCTGGCTCTCCACCCGCTGGAAGACTCCTTTGTTGCCCAGACCAATGGGAACTACATAGCAGTGTTCTCCTCCCAGCAGCCGTATAGAATGAACAAAAGGCGGCGGTTCGAAGGACACAAGGTCAGTATCGACTGGGGGTTACGCAGGCGTAATCCATACTGAATAACACTGCAGTCAGATGTACACAGACACACACACACACACACAGAAATACAACTTCCGCAACATCCCACCCCACACAGCTTTAATTGCAACTTACATGCTTCATTGTCTTTACCAAGATTCATAGCAGTGTTTCCTCCCAAAAAAACAAACCCACCAAATACAATACAACAGTTCCACTGAGGGAGGCAACAGGAGCAGCATATGGCAGCACATTTGAAATATCACTGAAAAATGCAGCACTGCTAGTGTGGCATTTGGACTGTTGTTTACAATAATTGACAGGAAACAAATGGGTATTGCACATTCCAGGTCCATTTTTGCTTTTCTCTTTCTGGTGCAGCACTAAAAATCAACAAAAAAGAAACAACATGGCAGAAAAGACTTAGTTTTGTTTCACAAGCATGTTGTATTTTATTTACTATATACTAGAATAAGACAGATGTTTCTTATAATTACCTTATAATAACCTTTGCGTTATTGTGATTATATTACTGAAAGCATTGGTAATTAGTTGCTATGATGACTAAAACACAGACATATCCATAATTTTTCTGCTCCTCCTACCATATTGGTAGGACACAATGATCACTTAATGGGTCTTCACCCAAATGGTGACAAAAGAAATACACAAATCAGGGGTCTAGGAATCATCATCATCCAATGCAGAAAACAACAGCAGGATCTCACAAAAACACGGGGCAGAGACAGGACTATTTATAGAACAAGGACTATTTGGGGATTGAAAACAGGAGGGAAATGAGGTAGAGGTGAAAGTAATCAAGCCAATCGGACAGAGTGGAAGTAAAGTCCAAAAAGTGACACGAAAGAAACGGAGCTATCGCAGTAAATCAACAGCCCTAAAATGCCTGCTGAACATGGATACAGGATTCAAACTAAACAAGGGAACACTGTAGGACATAAGCATAAATAAAGAAAGATAGGACAAAGGAAGGAAGGACAATAAACTAGAAGTAGGGACTCAAGCTAAATAAAGTATAATGACTGAAAACTAAGGCAACTTAGCAGGGATCAGTAATGCATAAAAGCGAAATATTGTGCTTCCAGAAAGCATTTTAAAGTATTTACAGTGCTTTAGTTCTTCAACATTTAGCCTAATTCCAGATTGGATTAAATTCATATTCACCTCAAAATTCTACAATTACCCCATAATGTCAAAGTGAAAAATAATTGCTTGAAATTATTGCATATTTTAATTTCTACAACTTCCCTGGAGTCCACCTATGGTAAAGTCAATTGATTGTTACTGTGGGGTATCATTGTTCGTCGCATTTCAACAAGGGTTTAACATGAAAAAATGTGGAACACGTCTAGCGCTGCGAATGCTTTCTGTTTATTCCACGGCACCTGACGAGATTTATATTTCTGGGGGTTCTTTATGCAAAGTGACGACCTAAAGTGGGTTGGTGTGGATACAGACTCGCACTTCATTCAAAATTTAACCAAGAAAATCACTAAGTAAGAAGATGAGCCCAACTTAAAGTTAAAAGGTTAGCGTGTTATTCTGCTTCCTTCTGTAATCCTTTGTCAGTGTTCAGTCCATCAAAAACAAGACTACACTTAAACTGTCTACACAAATCAAGAGTTGCCTCTGCAGTGTTTGTAGGTATAAATCAACAATATGCAGACACCATCAGGGGGCCTGCACTCTGTCTGTAGATTTGTCCTCCCCTGGGACTTTCCCCAGTTATTTGTGACATTAAATGTATGCAGGTAAAGGAGGATGAGAGCTGTTCTTTGATTTCCCTGTAACAATTGCTTTTTGTTCTGAAGGTTGAGCCAACACGATTCTGATTAGTTCTCTAAAATCTCCTCTGAGCCGCTATAAATGGATTGTAACATATTTTTTGTTCTAGGTGGAGGGATATGCAATAAAGTGTGGCTTTTCTCTGGATGGAACTATCCTGGCCTCAGGGAGCTCCACTGGCTCCGCTCACTTCTATGACTATCACACAGCTCATATGCTTCACACCCTCCGTGCCCATAGCCAGCCCTGCCTTTGTGTGTCTCAGCATCCCGTCTTACCTACGACTGTGGCTACTTGTGACTGGGGCGGTGAGATCAAGGTCTGGCACTGACAACCAGCTATGAACAAAGAGATTATAAACTTAAAATGTAGCAGGTTGGCCATGAGATGGAAGACTGTATTAAACAGAAACGTCATGTGCACATTTATCTTCAAGACTATAGCTTTCATAATCTCTTGGCAAAAGATAAGAAGAACTTGGCAAAAAATGCTGAAAGTCAGCAAATCTACTATCTACTGATTCCTTTGGAAAACATTTTTTTTTACACTGACTATCTTGCAAAGCTTTCACATCATAATAAAAAAAAACTAACTCGATTTCAGTCGCTATGGTGTCATCTCACTTTAAGCGTTTTATTCATATTTGTCCCATCTGTTCACATCCTGTAATCTTGGTGGATGAAATGAAAACAGTTGAAGTTACACTGTATGAGATCAAAGGAAGCTTCTTTACAGTTAAGAGTTCAAAGAGTGAACTATTGTTATGGGTTTTATCTAAAGTGGTAGGCGGTGGAAAAGTAGTCTAGCTGCACATATGCCCACAAAAACACCCCAGTGCTTTTATAGTCCTGCCTTTCACCCCAAATACAGCAAGGGATTTTATCATCACCGTAGTCTTCAAGGTTTTGTCAAAATAAAAATAAAAACATCTCTCTGGGTGGTTTTTAATCAGAAGTGTTTTTCATTCCACATTCTGCATACACATCACTTTTCTTATTCCCTTTTCTTCTCTCGGGCTCTGATATGACATTTCCTTTCACACTGCATCAAAGAAAGACAACCAGAGAACTAAAAAAATATGCCATCATCTGTCAAAGCATTGCCAAGTTCTCCCAGAGTCCTGCCAGTCAACAGCAGAGCATTGAAGTGCAGATGCTTGTGATCTTTATTCAGTATATATAGTAGAAACATCCTTATCCTTGTTTATAGGGAAACATCTAATGTGTAAATAGTTTCCCCTGTTTTGTAACGCCTACGCTTATTTTACCTCAGTTAATGATACAGAAAGCGTCATTGTAGTTGTCTTTAAAAGGCCCCTAAATTATTTTTAAAGCAGTTTTTTTTAATTAATCTGCATCTACATACATAGTCCACCGTAAGAATAAGAAGGAAGAATGCCATCCTGTGGAAAAACATACTGTTCCCTTACTACTTCCATAGGAAATAAAGTAGAAGTCAGGTGCTGTTAATCAGATGAGTTAATGATCAGGAAGTGCGACCACCTCAGTAAAAGCCCAAGAGCTACTACTAAAAATGACATGGCAGCATGATGTCTGGCACAATGCCCTCTATAAAGATGGGACCAAAGTGTAGAAGTTTGGCTATAATGCAGAGCGCCATGTTTGGTGAAAACTAAAGAAAGCATATCAGCATGGTGGTGGAGGCGTAATGATTTGGGCTCGCTTAGCAGCCACTGGACCTGAGGAGCTTACAGTCAATGAGTCGACCAGTATTCTAGAGTGAAACAAGAAGCCATCTTTGTCAGATGACATACAGGCCATGCAACAATAATCCCAAGCATACCAGCACCAGAATGGCTGAAAAAGAAAAGAATCAAGGTGTTGCAATGGCCCAGTCAAAGATTGAAAGGCGGCAGTGGCACCTTAAGAGAGAGAGCTGTCCTTAAATAAAAGCCTGCAGACCTTATTGAGCGGAAGCAGTATTAATATATAAGTCCCTAACAATGAGGTGAGAGACTGATAAAGTCGCACAGAAAACTGTTATTTCAACTTATTGGTGCTTAAAGCGGTTCTACAACTAAATGTGATAATTAAGCTGGTTAAGGATTTGTTATAAAAATTTAAAACGGTCCCCTACTGTGAACCACCAGATGGTGGTAGAATAAATTACCTAAAATAATATGCCTTGAAGTCTGCAATCAATTTCCCAACACACATCTTTATTAAGTAAATAAACATACAGCAAAAAATATAGAACCATGCATCAGACAGACAAACGTGACATTTAAACAACAGGCCTGTTATTCCTGGAACAGGGCTGGAGGTAGGACAGGACAGAACCACTTCAGCCTCGTCATTCAAGGTCAAAACATTCTATAAATATAACAACAACTTAAACTAGATAAAAATATTCATATTGTAACAACCGTGTATGAAGTATCTCCTTTTCTACATTGCGCCCACAACAAAAATACCATTTATATTCTCATTTCCTCTGTACAGTGGTTAAATGTAATTTCAAACCTTTTTCACTGCTAAGACCTAAACAGTCTACCAAATAAGAGTAAAAAAATGTCAGTGACCTGTATGGTGCAGTTTTAGCTTCACAAATATGACAATGTCAGAATATTTCAAACAGCCTTAAGCCAGTTCTCAGATGTGCGGGAGTGAGAGACGCATAGCTTTCGAAAATAAAATCTGTCAGTGAGGATTTGAGGGCAAAGTTGAGCTTCCGTAAATTACCTTTTCTCTAGCGCTGTTCCTCTCGGCTCTGCAGAGCTACACAGACAGTAAGAAATCCTGGCGTGCATAGATGTTGGAACATTGTCATTTTGTACTCTTCTATACTGGAATAGCAAATGGTAGTATGATTGTTGGGCAGCAGGACAATCTCTCTGCAGCTGTTCATTTAACATAAGGCAGTATTTTATAATAAGGTCTTTGACACTTTCTATGTCTGTATATACACAAGCTTTGTCCATTTCACAGTGTTTACTGAGCATGCTGGTTGAAAACAACACACTGACTGTACATGTTTGTGTTTAGTCACTCTTTACTACCTTTTCAGTGCACTTACCCATCCACCTTTTCTTGTGCATACGTTGCAGAACTTCCACCAAGGCCTGGACAATTTTCCAATTAACTCTCCCCTTAAAGTAGTAGAACCAACAGTGTCGTTTTGCTTTTGTGTATATAGTGCCAAAAGTGTTAAAAGTTGGCACATCAGTAGAAATTTTACAGAATTTCATGTCAGCAAATTCCAGTGATGATCAACATGTCTCATATGGGAACAGACTTAATCTGTCTCCTAAAACCTGTGTATGTATATATATTATCTGACAGGAAGAGCATACGCTGTAACAGTAGTGCATACATACAGTGACAATACAGCAGATATACAGTATGTACACAGTTGTTAGATGCTGTAAAGGAAACCTCTCTGTCCACTGGACAGGATTAAGGCAATTTCACAAGTGTCTTGGTTTTTACGGTAACCGCTGCGCAGTATGACTGCTGATCATCATCTTATTTTTGTACAAATATATGAAAAATTCCAGTTGGGTAAAATGAATGACTTATACCTGCTGCTTTGTTTGAGTTATAGTACTGTGCAAAAGACATGAGCCACCCTTCTACTGACACCATTTCTGATTAGGCGTCAGTTTCCGGTGGATGGGTTAACGTAAAGCCCAGATGCATCTCCCAGGTCCCATGTGAGGTCTTTGGATTTTTTTTTTTTTGCGAACTTGGTTCAATTGCTGTCAATGGGAATCATCTTGTTGATGCCAAAATACTATTTTTTACTGTCAGACTGTGTTATCGTTAGCATTTTTCATAGACTTACCTGAAAAAATGGGAACAAATTATCTGTTTTTTGCAACAGGCCTCTAGTAACAGAGTGCCTGAAAATACAATTTAAAATTGGTTCTGTGCTAAGTTGTCTGTTATGTGTCGACACAACACTGCTTCATCCCTTTTGTGAGAAATTGCTTTTTATTATCATTGAATGATTCGGTGAGGTAAAATAACTGGACTGAAAATGAATTAAAAAAGCAACTAAATGTCCAAAGAAAAACTTTGGAAGACCTTCAGAAAACCTAGAAAACTATTACTCAAAACAACATTTAAAAAAATAACAAGAAAGAGACAAAACATAAAAAAAGGTGGCTGGAGACTTTTGCACAATACTGTCTGTGTAATAGGTTTTACTTAATGGGTACCTGGTTATATTTGTATATTTCCTCTCATAATAATTATATTATTTAAAAATATATTTGTATATTTTATATCTGACAAATGTAGGCAATTTAGGGTTCTTATTAAGAAGTGTGGGATTACTCTATTAGCTATATAAATCTTGCTATGAAATATCATATGGCCTTGAAATAAATATATATTATTTAAATCTCTTATTTAGCCAGTTGGAGAATATTTCCTTCTGGTAAGGGTTGCCAACAGATAATGTCTCTTTGAAAAACAGTTTAGCTGGAAAGGTTTTTTCCACCTTATTCATATGCATTACACAACATGCATTTGTGTAAGTGAAAGTAGAGGATGGGTAAATCGTTTTAACAGTTTGCAGTCAGCGCGGCCTGCTAAACGTAATGGATAACCTCTCGCAAACATGCAGAATTAAGTCACCTCATTAAACACACTTCATTTTCAGTATATTAGAGCAAGAATTAAGGATCTTTTGCTGGTTTTACTAACAGTACTTAAAAAAAGAGTGAAGAGCACAGTATCTTTGTGTTGTAGAGAGAATGTGGTTTTATCCTGGTGCCTCTAAATATCGCCATCACTTAAACAAAAACATACTGAGTAACATGTCTCAGGTCGATAAATACACTGACGTACAATAGAGAAAAAGGTTGCAGACTGCGTGAAACGTGCCGTGGCTAAGATACATAAAACAACATTGGAACACCCCATCACACCAAGTATGTGTTTGCTGCAGGGAGAGATACAGAACAGTACAGAAAGTTAGGACTCGTTATCATCGTCATCATCATGCATAAAATAAAAATCGCTTTCTCCACTCAATTCAGCAGCGTACCGTATAGCTGTGCCTTGGTCAAACTGTCCTTTCTCGTCAGTCCTGTACTGCCAAACTTTTGGTATCTTGCAGAAGTCTTCTTTGGGAGCGCGGGGCCGATGCTGAGAGCAGAGCTGGAGCTCGGGCGGGGCCGGACACTTGGCCTGGGGGTGGGGTAGTGTTGAAGACTTGAGGCTTCAAGTGAGCTTTGGTGTAAGGAATCAGCCGAGCTGTCTGCGCTCAGATTCACGTAGTCCTTCTTTGCGCTGCTTGCCGCTGTCGCTCCCCCGCTGCTCTCCTTGTCTTTAGAGCTCCCTGAGAGGAATAAACTGCTCTCAGAGTCCTGACTGTCATCCTTGGCTCTATACAGCACAGAAGTTTTCTCCTGCTTGCGATGCTCTTTTGGCTTGGGACTGCGGCTGGGAGAAGAGGAACTCATGGGAAAGCACTGCTCCAGCACCCGACCGTGGAAGACGTCATCTCCTTCTTGGAAGCTGCTGTAGAGAGACCCTTTGACTTTACTGGAGGGGCCCATGGCAAAGTGGCGTTCAGAGAAACTGTATGGAGAAACCCGCCCTGTAATGTTGCGATAAGAAGATGAGAAGGTGTTGATGTCTTCCACGCTGAGCTGTCTCCAGCGGCTGCTCAGGTCATCCTCGGAGACCTGGACATCACCCTGGCTGTCAAGAGTTCCTCCATGAGCCTGGCCCAGTCCAATTGTAGACCCCATACTGTGAGAGGAGGCCAGACGAGGAGTGCTGGAGTGGAACGGTTCACTGAAACATGACGCTGTCCTTGTGTAGGCTGGTGAGGGCCCCTTCTGGGGGCTCCTTTGGGTTGCCATGTGCTGGATGCTGTGGGACTTGGGGAAGCTTGATCTGTCTTTATCATAGGAGGAAATACTTTTGTGCTCATAGTCTCCACTACTACCTTCCCGCCAGTCCAAGTAGAGACCCTGGTGGGAAGAAGATAAGGTGCTGCTGCCAGTGCGCCCACATCCTCCACTAACTCCTCCCTTTTCATCTGATGCAAGACTAAAACTGGAGTAGGAACTGGACACTGGGAGACTCCCAGTGCCGAACTCATCGTGGTGACGGAAGGAGGATGTGGGTTCATGGTGGGAAAAACTTCCAGAGTGGAAAGCATCTTCATCTGGGTTGCTGTCAATAGAGTTCTGAGCGTGAAGCTGAAGCAGGCCAGTGCCATGAAGGTCAACACTTTGTCTGCGCTCGGTGTCCTGCCATCGTTCAGGACAGTAGAGCGCCGTGTCGCTGCAGTACAGGTCAGATGTCTTATAAGAAAGGCGCCGGTTCAGATGATCAGTGCTTCCTGTTCCTGTCAGAAAGTCTCCATCCTGTGCCTGCGGGCTGGGTGAACGCGTTACAGGGCAACTGCTTCCAGGCTCGGGCTTTTCCAGGACCTTGGCAATTATGGCTGTGGGCACAGCGTCTGGATAATTTGAGTGACACATTGCCATGGTGACGCCACTACTCTGATTATGTTTTTCCATGAGGGAACTGATGCGTTCCTGGAAATCCAGTGGCAGCTGAGGCATGGAAGAGAAATACAAAGAGAGACAAAAGAAGCTAGATAAAGACAGGAAACTACAACCCAAAACAGCAAAACAAATGTTTTTGAAAAGTTGTGACAGTTGCTGAGCTGGTATTCAGCAAAGCTCTTTAAAAATGAATAAGTTCTCCAAGAGCCTTTTAAGCTGAATACTGAATGTATTTTTAAATGCCATTTCTTACTTTTCTGTAGGTCTGGGTGCAAGAATTATCCTTTGATTTAGACCAGTATATGTGTCTCAGGGGGGAAATGTTTACATTCTTATTCATCCATACATGATAGTATTGAGGGCAACTGGTCGTTTTTTAGGTTTCTGAAGACTTTTGCCTCTCATCCAAGACGCTTCTTCAGTTCTATAACAACTAGTGGAGGATCCAAGGTATTTAACCACTAGCAGGGGCTGTACCCTTGGAAGTGGCCCTGAGGGTTGGTGACCAACTATTAGTCATAAAAGTCATCACATGAAATAAGGTGTGAAGAAAGGCTTATGAAGTAAAACCTGGTACTCTCCACCAGCCATTTGATAAATGAAACCTCTTAAATGAGAGGTGAATGTCTTCATGAACCTAAAGAAGTCGAGTTGGAGGTAGATGCCCTGTCTGACCTGAATTCCTCTCCTGATAACGCAAAGAAACTGTGCTACCTTTAATAACTTTCTAAACAACCTTTATTTAGTTATGAGTTACAGAGTCCACAACTTAATTATACAGACATAAATATTTCTTCTTTCCTTCCTGCTTTCTTCCATCTGTTTCTCAGCCTGTCATCTTTCTCCTTTTCTTGCTGTGTGTCTCTCTCACACACACAGACAGACACATAATCTCTTTGATTGGCTCCAGTTTGAGAAAAATGTTCCTGTCAATTACAGACTGGCTCTTTGTGCCTATTAAAGCTGGTCAGGGTCAGCAGGAACTGTTCCCGACACACTGAGCTCTCTTTCTACTCATCCCTTTCTTTATCCTTTCATCTTTCTCCTCTTGCACCACTGCCTTCTCAACCAAAAGACTCTCATTCCCCCCATCTCTCTTTTTTTTCTTTTAGTGTGTCTTTTTATTTCTCTTTCTACCATCAAACAACATTGGTTCCACAGGGAAGGGCTTAGATTCAAATTAAACCAGTTCTCTGGGTCTCCAGCTGGGTATTGGGAAAAAAATAGATAAAATTCTGACTTGGCTTTGTTAAGAAATAGAAGCTCGCCTCGGCATAAAATAACCTGCATCTTTTAAGTCGGGGCTATTTTTAGCCGCTGTTGCCTCTCCCAGAGGGAATAGAGATGGAAAGTAGGTGAGGCTGTGGGGGGAGAGCGCAAGATAATATACAGTATGTGCTCCAAGTAAGTCAGCTCAGCATTAGTTGCTATCTGAGGCAGATCTTAATTAACAGTCACATAGTTGTGCAGTGTTAAGCAACGTGACAGCGAACACATCTGCAGGTCTTCTTTTAATACAATAAGTGGATTAATAGCATATCGTGGAGCTGGTTACTTAAAAGACTAGAAATTCACCCCTTGTTCCTAAACTCCGTATTTCCTGCTTCACAATGGAGATAAAAAATTTCAAATGAAATGTTAGTTTTCCTAGCAATAAGACACACTCCATAGCTTCTTTAGTTAATCTTGGTAAATCTGTTACGTATCTAAACTGGGGGAAATAGTTAAACCAAAAAAAGTACATTTGTGTTTGGTCAATTATTTCTTTGTTGTAACAATGTTTCTTGGCAATAAATCTCACACTGTTGGAAATCCTATTTATTTTCCCTTAAATGGTGCTGAGGAAAATGTGAGAAGAATACAGACTTAAGTATACGGGCTTGTCCGGCCAACAGCTTATTCTACTATTGACTCTTTTTTTGAGCTTCTGGTACCCCAGGTGCTGACAATCAGGTGTCTGATTAGTGTCACTTGTGAACTACAGTGGTCAGCTGTTTTCAGATTAGAAGTGTGTCCTAGTACCACCACCAAAATTGAAGGTCAGGGTCCATATAACAGGGAGTGTCAGAGACCAGCTGCAAAGTGGGCGTCCCACTGCAGTGTGTGACGACCTGGTAATGAGTATGAGAAGGTTTTCCAAGCTGTTGTGTATGTGTGTGGTTCTTCCACAAGCTACTGAGGCCCCTATTTATTAAATAAATTGTTAAATTGACAGACCTCCAATCCAATAAGTGACACCAAACAAAAGTCAGTAGCAGACTGACACTTTGTTAATGATTTGAAGCAGTCAGGATTTTCACTATTTTAAGTACACGCCTGTAAGGTCCGCCTGCTCAGGAAACACATGCACAGACCTTTCCTAAGTTTTTCAGTGTACATTTAAATTACTTTAAATGTGTTCTTTAATGGATATTCTGTCTTTCTCTATTAGAATGAAAAAAAAAAAGAAAATAAAACAATTTGATTATTTATTTTGTTTATATTTAGCAGCGGAGCAGGTAATTGGACAGTAGTTCTTCAGTTTCACTGTGCAAACTTAGCCCTTAGGTCTCTTATTTCTAGGAGAATCTCTTGGCTGACAAAATCCCCCAAAGCAGAATTTTTACTGTTTCCAGTCAGCTTAAATCAAAAACACGTCTAAATGGTACTCTAAATATGCACAGCAGCTATAGTGCTTCAAAACTGAGGCCAACACTACATGCTCCAGTCACAAACATATTCCCCAGCTGATGTCATTTAGAAGAGTGCAAATGAAAGAGAAGGCAGTGTTTGTGGACTGAAGTGTAGCACTAATTCCCGTCACTAATGCAGTACAGTATTGCCTGTGTTAATGAATGCAATACTAATGTACTTCTGTGAAAGATTCCTAGATGATTCATGTTTTCTATAGAAAAACATACTTGGCATGCCTATTTAAGTTTAACAGCCATATCTGAATCAGTTTCTGGCAGCTATATGCAATTAGTGTTATTGCTTTGTGGCTACAGTGCTGCTGTTCAGCAAAGATTAGATGAGCTCCCTATTAGCCAGTGGACTTTACCTCAATTTCCTGCCCTAAAGTCCTAAATGTGTTTGTTTAAAGAAAAGCATAAAACATCCCCTTTTCAGAGTTTTAACAAGCTGAATTCATTATTGCTCTATTTCATTTATATCAATGGGTTTTTTGGTGATGCAAGTAGTCTGTAGGTAGTGTTTCACTTAATTATGAGCCCAGGTCTACAGATTTTTTTCCCTTTCTTTTGTGCCTCAGGTGTCATCACAAGCCAGCCTTTCATTCATTTATTATGCACAGCTAAGATGCACACAGATGGTACTTCAGACAGCAGACCTTCATCAGTCTGAGAGGAGAGGCCATGAGCGCTGTGGCTCCTTCTTATTGTGAAAACCACTCAAGTAGGCTTTTAATAGTACACCAACACAATATCATAAACTTTGCTTGATTAGAAGAAAAATACATTTAATTTCCTCTTTATTAGTACAAGTAAATGAAACCATCTCAAGCTTAGGCTGATGTAGTTATGCCCATTAGCCTCAGAGCTGTATGTTGGATTTAAGCTGATGAGTTAAGGTTTCACACAATGCTTGGAAATGTTTTAATGCTTTAAACGAATATTATTTATTATTAGATTTTGGCAATAATATTTGTGAAAGAAAGGAGCTAATGCTGTTTGAAAGAATTCCCCAAAGTAAATTTTGGTGGAGAAATCCCGACATGGCAGGAGTTACCAAAGTGTTACCATAGTGTTAAGTAGAATACACTAAAGCAGCATCAGCAGTACGTTTCAAATGCTTGACTAGTGTGTCCTTGTATACTGAATTCAGATGTAGCACTTTCTAAAAGACTTTATTCAGGCAAAGCATTTTGTACAACATGCTGCTTGAATGAAAAATTTAATCTTAAACCGCATTCAATAATAAATAGTAAAGACCCAACTATGTTATTTTATTAATACACTTTATAAAGTTCTCAAATGTAAACACTGCAATTTCCTGCCGCTCGTCTAGACTAACCTTGTTTGGAGTGTAATTTAATAAACAAAACATTTTTGCTTAAATGGTCGGCGCTGAATTTTAAAGCTGAACTTTTAAAAAAAATTTTTTTTTTTACTGCAGCACAAACCTAAACCCGCACTGATGTAGCTGCAGCAGGCAGTGCTGGTGAGCTCACCTCAGACATCTTATGTGCTCTGTAGTGAGACTTGGAGCACTGCAGCAGCTGGGCTGCCAGATTGCAGTCTTTCCTGTACAGGTCCTGAAAAAAAAGCAAAAAGATTATTCCCATTCACTTAAAACACACACACACACACACACACACACACACACACACACACTGGGTTTTCTTTGGCATCTTGATAATTAAAGCATGCTGTGAGTGAGGAGTGTTATGAGTTTAAACCATCCCTGAGTAAAACCTTTAATACTTTTGATTACAGCCTTCTAATTGTGCTTTATAATTATAGGAGATGTCTGAGGGGGGAATCAGGAGAGTGTGCAACAATACAGCTGAACATAAAAATATATGTAACCAAGAAGCATATATATGCTTCTTGGTTACATAATTTCACTGGGTAGCTCGCAGGATCTTTACAATACCAGCAAACTCTTCTTTAGACATATCTGCCCTGTGCAGACTGTGCTGATTTTATTAGAGTTGTCTGAAACAGCACATTAACTTATCTGCACCTTCCAGCCAAGGAAGCAAGTACAGCATTATTCATCTCTTTACTCATGCTTTCTTTCTGAAAAGAATGGTTATTAGATTTTTGCTCAAATTTCACAGCACCGTGAGGGTGGTCTACTGGCACAACAGATGCCTGGTTTCATTGTTTTCTTCGTTTACTGTGCGTGCATGTGTTAGTGTGGGCGGTTAACTGGTTTTAGAAGGTTTTCTTTTCCTCTCCCTCCTCTGTTAAACCTGTCCACTTATAAAGGTCAGTTCATGCTGCATTGTAGCTTTCCTGTTTCTCTTTAATAGCACAACCCTGACATTTTCCCCCCATAACATCAAAGCCCTCTCTTTGACAGTCTCAACTCCCCCACCAGTTAACAGTGACTGCTTTTTGAATCTTTTTTCCCCCCCTGTTTTGGTGAAAAGAGACATTTGAAGTCCCTGTAGTTTTTCGGGACAGTTCAAATAGACCTTTGAGACCTTTGGTGATGTCTTAGTTAATATGAACTGTGTGGTGTGTCTCTCCTGGGAGTGCCAGCTGACAGCTTTGTTGCTCCAGCTGGTTGTGAGGCAGACTTTGTGATGTCTTATGATCAATTCTTTATGTACACTATATTAATAATCTCTGAATATGTGAATTGAGTAGATTCTTTCCTTCAAGTTGTTGTGAAATTAGAGCCATTTACTTTCACAGTCATTATCTTTGTAGGTAATTTATTACATTTGAACAGTCTTTGGGGATCATCAACAACTTGATGCCCTCTTTTGTCTGTCAACATGTATAATATGTAACAACTTGTTCTACAGTACTGTGCAAAAGTCTTATTTATTTCTTTATACTTTGCTTCTTAATAGACACACCTTTTTGTAATGTTTAAAGTGGTCCTGAGGTGTACTTCTCCAGGTTTCCTAACAGTCTTTCAATTTTAGAAGAATATTTTTTTGTTTTTTTAAGTCACTTGACCATGACCTATGAAGCATTCAAGCATAAAATACCCTAAGACAAGCCTAATTCCTCAATTCCTAATTTCTAATTCAAGGGACAAACCAGCATTGTTTGCACATAACAGACAAATTAGTGTATTTGGACACTTTACTAGCAGCCTGTTGCAAAAGCACATAATTTGTTTCTATTTCTGTAGTTGGATCTTTCAAAAATGCCAAGAGATAACACAGCTTGACACATAAATGACATTTTTACACCAACCACAAACCCTATCCACAGCAGATGAACAGGATCATGTTCTTAAATACCATGTATTTACCATGCTCGTGTATGAACCATGTACTATGTTAAAGCCTGTTAGAATTGTGAAAACTCAAGTTTTTGCCTTATACTGTATTTCCATGTATGTTTGCACATTTTTCAATAAATTGCTGGACCTGTTTCCCATTTTCCTTGCAAAATATCAAGACATGACGGGTAATTCAGGACAATTGCAAACTGCTGTAGATTAAATGGCTTCATCAGTTAAGTGTAAAGCAAACACACAATTAATTTGTAGTGTGTTTTGTGGCAGTGGGTCTCAGGCATGACACAACTGTGAGGTTTTATTTTATTTCTTTGTGTTTTGAGCAGAAAATTTGACGGTTGATCTCCAGAGGAAATGTCTGCCTCACGGCTGGCACTGCTGGGACAAATTCTGAAACCTACTCAAAATGAACCTCATCTCTAATCACCTCCGCTGGATGTTGGAGGGGAGGATTGTAAGAGGACTCTATAGCTCAGAAGTGCTAAAAATTTGCCATAGAGCGGTAAGAGAAAATCTAACTCAGCCTAGAGCCCCTCCACAAGGAAACCAGTAAAATCACTTCAAAGAAAAGCGAGGCATTAAACTTCCACATGCCGTTGAGCTCAGGTCTTTGCAGCTGTGGATTCAACCTCTGCCAGCCCCGAGGATGCCCATTGATTTCAGTTCTATCACTATAAAACATCCAGTGGCTTAGAGTTAATTCCTCTATCTGCTGTGACACCTTGAAGCACAAATATTGAGGATGTTGCAGAAATACAGTGAGTGTGACTTCCAGCTTGACATGAGGAAGTGCTCTCCTCAGAAAGAGTTGATTTTTAGCTTCCAAAACCAACTGTTGTTTTGGTGCTAACAAGGCACCAAGTAAGTAAGGAAGGAAGGCAGCTGCCCCAGGGCATCAAGTCTCTGTGCCCTGGATTTCCTGGGCTACTGTGCCTGCAGGCAAAATATAATTTGGGCAAGCAATCATACCAAAAAGTTCAGATACTGTCCAAATAACCTTGCTTCAGGTATATTCCCAGTGCTGACAAGAGGTATTATGGGGAACTTACATTATATAGATGGAGCAGCTTTAAGTACTCACATTGTCCTCTCTGAGTTTATTAATGGTGATCTTCGCCTCCATGAGATGATTGTTGAGAACAATGATTTCCCGGCTGAGGGCTCTCTTTTCCTCCTCGTGGTGCTGTGACTACAGTGTAAGAGAAAGAATGGACAAGTTAAAAGAGAAACTGGAGAAAAACAGAAGGAAAAAATCCCCAAGGATGACAGAGTGGATGATAAGATGAGGGGCAGGAAGTGAGGGTTAGAGAAAAGAGATAACGAAAGAGATGAGAGAGCCAAAGTTGGAGGAGCAACAGAGGTAAAACAAGATTATAAAGGAGCACAAGAAAAATGAAAGGGGGAAAGTCATAAGTCACTATCAGCGTGAAGCTGGCGCTAGCACCAGGACTTAATTAAAAGAAGATTACACTTGCCAGAGCTCATATCATATCAATTACTCTGGGAGTAAGAGAAAGAAGCATGGAGGGGAAGCGAGCGAAAGATGAGAAAAATAAAGTGGGTGCAAGAAAGACAAATGAAACACTCCATTTCCAGTGATTACTGTCAAAGAAGTGCAAAATGACCCTGCTGTAGTGACATTTGAACCACACTAACAGCCGAGTTTAATGATGGCTTCTATGTCTCTCTCTGTGTCTGTCCAGTCAGCTCAGCAGCTGTTGGCCACTTAATCCACCAGCTTGCCACAGATATCCCCCCTAATGATTTTGGTGGCCTGATCGCTCATCTAATATAATCGAAATTCCTTTACTTGCACGTCTAAAATGTAAAAATAGGAAATAATTCATTCTTGCTAAATTGGCGTGTGACAGTCATTATTCTCAGCCAACAGGCCAGTCGTAACAACGCCATGATCTTTTATAAATATTATGACCTGTGTGAGGGTATCGTCGGATCAGGTTCTTTAGCTCCACAAACTTTAACTAAATGCATCTCATAACGAACAATGATTCTGGCATGCAGTTAACACTTCAGCCTCCAGGGGGCAGTATAGGGTTCTTTTGGCTTAGAAATTATTATGTTTTGTTTTTCTTATTCACATGTGTCACACTGGCATACACACATACACAAAGTTGTAACTGTGAAACCTGTCACACAGCACCAGCTGTCAAATGATACACTCACTTGGCCTCCCACCCTTTTTTCCCTCCCTCCTTCTAATCTCCCAATGGTGGTGATTGTTTTGAAATACAGAGGTGCAGCGCCAATCTAATAGGTGGCAATTAATGTCAGTTTAAGCAATAGAGCAGCATTGATATTCAAATCCAATTCTGTTACGGTCTCATTAATCAGCTGTCGAGACAAGCGCCTCCCCGCTGTTCTTTCTCCAGCTCATTACTCCTGCCTCCAGCTCGTTCTCACTATGTGGATGACCACATTAGGTACATTTTTAAGCTCAGATATTTAATTTGTCGCTTTCCTTTCTTTGTTAAAGTGATGTTGTCTTGGCTCAGAGACAATCTCCAGCTCAGATGTTAATATGACTGGTGTTGTGGTTTTACACATGGCTGCTTTTTCTTTTTTCTTTTAAGAGTGACTCTGGACTTTAGAAACTGCACAATCGGCCTCATTTAGCAATACGTGACTTTTTAATGCAACTTTTTTTTGCTGTTTTCCAGCTGTGCAACAAGCTGCAAGCAACTTTAGTAATCAGCTGGAGTTGTGTTTGTGCACCCCCAGTGAAAGCTCTGGGATTTACTGCGCTATAAGTTTGGTTTAGACTCCACCAGCTACTAGTGCCTGACTTCATCTGTGCTCCCTGTAATGTTGCGCTTTGGGCATGTAGAATAGAAGGTGTTTATCAGAAGGCCTTTTCATTGAATACAGCTGCCTAATGCATTTGTAAATTATGACGACTGGAGCGGCAAAGTAGAGATAAAAGGCAGCAGCCACACTGTGGGAAGCTGTATAGTTAAGTGATAATTCTGTGTGTGTGTGTTTATCACTTGTACATCAGTCATTTGATTCAGTGTTAATACAGAAATATTGATTAGTGCATCTTTCAAACCCGTCTAATCGATCGACCGGAGGCTCGAGTGCATCTGCACTGTGATAAATGTTGTAATAAAGAGTATGAAAAAATGAATCAGCGCAGCTTTAATGTTAGTTAGAATCCAAGCCTGTTTCATTTACTACCCAATAGAACAGGAACACAGTCGCTATCATCGGCATTAAAAGGCATCTTTAATTTACGATTCTTCTAAAGGATCTTTGGGTCTTCTATTGCATTTTTGCTGAAAATTATAGGAAAACAGGGCACAGAGTCTGCTTAGAGACAAAAGAGGCAGAGGGCATTCTTAACTGTGCTGATATAGTCATCATTGATCTTGTGCTGTATTTTAGAGAGAAGAGGAAAATGGGGTTTTATAAGTTCTAGCCAGCAGAATTTCAGCTGTGCACACTGATTTTTGCTATCTCCAGCAGTCACTTTGTGTTGGATACACATGGCGTTCTTATCTGTTGGTACCACACAAACAAGGAAACCGCATCAAGGAGAATTAATATGCATATTCTGACAATCTTATCTTATTGATTGACCCAGAGGAGTAGGGAAGATATTGTTTCCCACCCTAATGCATTGCACAGAATTAAAGCATCTCTTTTTGTCTTTCAAGTTTCTTCCAATCATTCACAGGAATGGTTGACCATTAGTGGTCAAGTTTAAGGGTTTGTTCAGACGTCATCTTAAATGACTCCTTTAACAAAGTTATCTCCTCTCCCAGTCGGATACGTAATGGAACAAATCAAAAACTAAACTCACAGGGCACGCTTCAATTATTGATCAGGTGAATTGAGTGCACAGTGTATAAAATGAGGAAAAAGTGTTTTTCTAAGACACCCCGGTTTGTTTTATGTATTCTGCTGGAGATTCTGTCTCTTCGCTGGGCAACAAATGAAGCCTGAGTCCCATGAGATGCAATTACTGAGGACTTCGGTTCACAGAGGAGAGCAGAAAACTCTGCTCCATTTTAAATACATCCTTATTTTAAGAGGGAAAAGGAAAGAAACAAAGTAGATTTCTAACCTCATTAAAGAGGATTTTGAAATCAAGACACCAAAGATAACCACCACCCTGCTAAAAGCAGCTTCTGTATGTAGCGAACACTTATAGGTAGAAGGAGATCTAAGAAGTTGTTCAATGGATACAATTAAAGCAGAAGTAAATCTCTGGGTGATCCAAATTGATTATGTTAAGATGAACTTGCCATGTGAAACAAACAATATTTATAGGAGGAAATAAGCCTCAGTTTCAGTCAGCATTTCAAAGACAAGGAGTTATTTTTAAATTGTTTCCTGTAGAACTGAAAAACCACCTAGGTTGGCGTATGTGGGTAATCCATCATGATACAAATTTACTTGACTATATTTTGGAAGTGTTCCAGGTGATGTGGAGGGGGATTTGTGGGCTACACTGCTGGGAAATCAAACCTTACCTATTATAAGAAAATACAGTGTACATAGAAAAACTAAAAATCCCTCCATGCAATTTCTTCCACTTATCCAATTCAGGGTTACGTGGGGCCGGAGCCCAGAGACAACCATTCATGCTCACATTCGTACCTACAGCCAATTTAGAATCACCAATTAATTAATGTGCATTGTGCATGTCTTTGGACCGTGGGAGAAAGCTGGAATACCCGGAGAAAACATACAAAACTCCATACAGAAGGCTCCAGCCAGCCGGTGGAGTCGAACCCAGCGGATTCTTGCTCTGAAGAAACCACTGTGCCACCAAATAAGTCATAAAAATGTGCTGAAAATACTTCAAAAATTCAGGACCTGTATCCTGAAACTGTGTCTGCTGAAAAATAGATGTGTTTTAGAGCAAAGAGGCTTTATTGCTAAGATGAATGAGTCTTATTCTTATCAGTTTGTTTTACTGTCCATTCTGTGCTTTTCTCTTCCAGAATCAGTAGTAAATGGTGAAATGCATCAAAACTGTCTGGTTTCACTTTGATGCTGCTCTCCTACATGTAATTTTCACATTTTATTCAAGAGTTATGATTAATGGCTGTGGTGTTAATGGCACTAATTAGTGCACTGCAGATAGAGCATGGCTCTGCTCCCTGAAGGGCACAGAGTAACCCATACAGACAGGTATAACACTCAGAATCGACAGGCTTTCTCAACCACCAGGACTATTATTCATCTGCTTCCTTTTACATGGTGAAATGTAATAAAATAATAATAATAATAATAGAAAGAAATCTCTCTAAATCAGGCATCTGTATGCACTGATCTTAAAAGAGATCACACTACACACCTTTTTGAAAAGTGTGACTCAATTTACACCATGAAGCACAGAAAATAAGCAACCTTAAAAACTCTGTGATAGTTAGCTGACTGACTATCAACTACATGACACCTCACAGTCATGTTTCCTCCAGCAGATTTCTGCTAACGTCTTTGTCATGATGTTGATTAGTTATGGCATGTAGCACAAAGTTTTATTGTAGGGAAAAAAACTGCAAGGAGAGTAATTTAAAAGTCAGTACTGATAAAGTAGAATGTGCTGCCTGTGGAGATCCCAAAAGAGCAAGAAACCGTTTGTCAGCAAATAAGTTGGGGTGCAGATTGTGAAGAGCTATACAGAGTAACAAACTGAGCTGGAAAAGGTGGAGTGGTGAGAGAAATACTGAAGTATAAGTATTAAACTAGTGGCATCAAAATATATTGTTTTAAGTACCAAAAGTAGAAGAACCCATAAGCATTACCACCTATTTTGTTTTAATGTTATACCGTAATTGTCTTAATAGCTGGTCATTTTCAACTCAAGACTGATAAAACTGTGTTCCCCACTGGTCCCTTTATTAAGTACACCTTGGACCCTGTTTGCCTTCAGATGAGCTTTTTCTTCTTCATGGCATAGAGTCAACAAGGTGATGGAAACATTCATCAGAGATATTGGTCCACGGTGACACGACAGCATCATAACCTGTGATGTGAACTTCTCGTTCCACTGCATCCCGTTCAGATGACAGATGACTGTGAACTCATTGTCATGTTCAAGAAACCAGTCTGAGATTATTCAAGCCTTGTGACATGGCACGCTATCTTCTTGGAAGCAGCCATCAGATGAAAGGTACACTGTGGTCATAAAGTGGATTTTGCAATATTTGCCTCTGAGAT